TTACTAAACCGCCAGAAAACTACTAGTAACCGCCGATAATGAGTGATTTTCCTGTAGTGATAGTGCTAGATATCGGCATTGCTAGCGTCGAACGCATTCTTGTCGATTATCTGCTTGCCCATTCGGTCACAGTTAGCCGCCATGTCACAAGCCATGCCAAGTAAGGTCGCGAGAGGCTAGCCATTCTTCTCAAGGAGCACTTCGAATCGGGTGTTGATGCATGAAAATGCTTAGGAGATAAAGTAATTTCTTAGCTTACTAAACTTTTTAATATTATTTTGAAAACTAAAAATATGTCATATGCGTAGAGAATGAATGTGTTGATTCCTATTTTAAAAATAAAGGTTATATACAAAATTGTGCGAATTATAGAAGAATTAAGTTAAAGTGACATACTTCAAAACTATAAAAGAGAATTATGGAGCATAGGATGTGGCGTGACACTAATGTTTCTCAAAATTAATTTGTATTCATGCAAGGTAGGTCTACTATGGAAGCTATACATTTATTGAGATGTTTGATGGAGAAACATAGAGAGAATAAGGAGGATCTACATATGATTTTTATTGATTTAGAGAAAGCATATAATAAAATTCCAAGAGAAGTGTTATGGAGAGTTCTACATAAAAAAGGAGTTAATAATGCTTATATTCAAGTCATTAAGGATATGTATACAGGAGTTATTACTTGTGTTCAAACACAAGATGGTTTGACCAAGTATTTTCCAATTTCAGTTGGATTACATTAAGGATCGGCCTTAAGCCCATATCTTTTTTGTTTTAGTCATGGATGTTCTCACTAGACATTTGCAAGAGGTTGCACCCTGGTGTATGCTTTTTGCTGATAATATTCTTCTTGTTGGTAAGGCTAGAGAGGGAGTCAAGGTAAACATAATTGAATTATGGAGCTCAACTTTAGAGTCTAAAGGATTTTGTTTGAGTAGATCTAAAACTGAATATATTAAGTATAATTTTAGTAATAATATATCTAATGGGGGGATTGTGACTTTAGGTGATCAAGTCATCAAATCATTAATAAGAGTACATGTTTTAGATATATTGGGTCTATTGCTCAATGTGATGGTGAAATAGATGGGGATATTATTAGTAGAACTCAAGTTGGATGGTTGAAGCGGAGGAATACATCGGGCTTATTGTGTGATAGAAAAGGCCCCTTCAAACTCAAGAAAAAAATCTATAAGATAGTAGTGAGACATGCAAGGCTTTATGGTGCAGAATGTTGGCCATTAAAAGAGAAGCATAATATTAAGTTTAAGTGTTGCAGAGATGAGGATGCAAAGGTGGATGTGTGCCTATATTCTTAGAGACAAGATACTAAATGAGCATATATATGAAAAGGTTGGAGTAGCTCCTATAGAAGATAAGATTAGAGAGAGCCGCCTAAGATGGTTTGGTCACATAAAAAGGCGGCCTTTCGATGACCTAATTAGGAATGTAGATGTATTATATTTGACTTAAGTTAAGAAAGGTAGTGGTAGACCTAAAAATGCTTGGTTAGAAAATATCAGAAATGACCTTTCGTTATTAGATTTAGATGAGAATTTGACTCTTAACAGGACACAATGGAGACAAAGGATTCATGTAGCCGGCCCCATATAGTTGGATAAAGGCTTGTTGTTATTGTATTAGGCCTTCAAGGACTATGACAATAAATTTCACAAATTAAAATAAATATCCTCTGTTATGATATATACACAATAACTCCAAAAAAATTAGGAGTTGAACCCGATCCTCTGTTGGCAAGAAAACAGAGTCGACAATGTTCGATTCATGAAATGAAATTACTCATATTCTTCGATGATGGTCGTGTTAACAGAAAATCACAACCGGAAAAGACCCTAAACATTTTACATGCATCCCAAACTCATAAAAATACAAATATTTAAAGCAATTTCAAAATTATTATGATGATGGTCGTGTTGAATAGGAGTGTCAATTCAAGTCAACGGTTTGGGTCGAACCTGACTTGACCCGGCCATAAACGGGTTGACCCTAACCCAACCCGATTTTGCAAACGGATCAGGATTGTCAACCCGAACCCGACCCGTGCGAGTTATTGGGTTGACACGACACGATCCACAAACAGCTGCGGAGTAGAGCGGAGGCTGCGGAGCTGAGCGGGTCTATCGAGTTTGAACCTCGAGGCTGGCAGAGCAGAAGCATCGACAGTAGCAACGAGTGCGGCGTGTGGGACAGACGACAACAGCGATAGCAAGAGCAAGACTGCGGCACCTAACGTAGACGCGAGTGCGGCTGTGCGGGCTACACCAACGACGGCGAGCCGCCGACGCTTGACGATGACTCTACCCGACGCTACGACCCCTGACGCGGATGTTACCTGATGCTACGACTCCTGACGTGAAGACCCGAGTCTTGACGTAATGCCTGAGTGACTGAGTCCTAACGCGCGGGATGACTAAACGGGTCAATTCAGGCTGACCTCGGGATGTCTGGTCAACCCGAACACGACCCATTTTTCAAACGGGTCAAAATCTGAACCCGAACCAAACCCATTTCACAAACAGGTTGAACATAACCAAGATTTTTCCAGGTCGGGTCCGGATCGGGTTTCGGATGTCAACTTTTGGCACCGCTAGTGTTGAATGCAATTCTCAACTAGAGTGGTCCATACAAATTTCAAAGAAATGCCTCTAAATCTCAAAGTTTATTGTTTGGGGCTCAAGTTTAAATAAAAATTTCAAATATATTGCTCTTTAAAAATTCAGAATATTCAAAATGAAATAAATCATCTAAACACTTCCAGTAAAATTTTATCCACTCTCTACAAGAATTTGTTGAGGTGGATAAATTTAAAAATCACTACAGCTCAGAAACAATTAATGTTTAATCGAGAATATCACTATGATTCATTCTGAAACTGTCTCTTGTCAATAAGGACGTGGCAACTGTCTACTAACCGGTGGTTTTGTCGCTAAATGACGCCACAAATAAATGGTTATGACCGAGCCCTCTAACCTGGTGGTTTTGTCGCCAAATGATACAACTAAATTACGACCACGACCAGAGTCCGTATGTTTAAAAATGGCTTTAAACCCTTTAGTAATGAATGAATAGGGTATAACTGATAGGGCACAAAGCCCTTTGTTAACTAAGGTGGACTCAAATTTGTCCACTTAGACAAACATTCACCTTAAATCTACAACATACCCTTGGACGAAGCAACCCACGGCTGCCGATAAAGATCCTTCGGTTAGGTTAGGTCGACTACCTCCTTTGACTGAGTTAATTAGGGACCATGATGGACCGGGATGACGGGATCATGCGATCTTGATCGGGTTTACCATCATTCCCCCCACCATCTGCTTTAAGTGTGCGGTGAACAAATTTTCGAATTGCAATATCTAATTATGTTGTTACTATATGTTGGATATTACGCATATGTTCAACAATTAGTCTTAATTGAAAGTTTTCTCTCATTATCATGAGGGGTAATTAACTATAGGGTCTTGCGCCTATAGGAAACGATAACTCAAATCATAAAATCCTCACAAAATGAGGATGACATCTCTGGGTAGTGTCTTATCTAAAACCCAATCCGCCTTCTGAAAATTTACCCTGGAACTTAAACTAGTTAAAACTCTCCTCAACGACACAAAAAAGAAAGGGATCTCAAAGAGGCTGGGGTGCAAATTTTTGAAGCCCACAACCATCATCATTAGCCTTACCCCAACTATTTAGGGTCAAAATTGTGAATCTTTATTTTTCATCCATTCTTGTTAAGAATTATATGATGTGTTAAACATATTCTTCACAAATCATTTTTAATAATTTCAATGCACATTACCTTAGGTTTATATCTTTCTCTATCCAATCATTTGACACTAATTTTTTCTATCAAAATCTTTCAACTATCTTCCTTGCAATAGATGCTAACATAATAATTCCCTTACCATTTCTATTTATGTCTTATATTTATCTTTAGCATTCTTATTTCCCCAAAAGATTCAGTTTAGAAGTTGTTTGTGATCATTTTATTAGTTGCTTTTTTTAATTTTTATTTTTAGTATATTTTATTTTTATTATGTTTAGGTTCTAACAATAAAAAAATATTATGTTTGATATTCTTGTGTATTTATTTTTTAAGAAACAATATACAATCAATCACTAATTCAATATCATGCATCTTAATGACCTCCACCTATGGCCAAAAGCTCCAAGAGCTTCTTGGAGCTCTCCTCAAGCCATGATTGTGAATCTAATTTCACCACTGTCATTAAGTCATCAATGTGGCCAGAATTGCTATGTCATTAACAAAAACAATAATAATAATAATAATAACAAACAAGAAGGCACTACATTTTTAACATCCTAATAACCAATATTAAAAGATATGACCTTAATGTTGATCATTGTTGTAATCCTATTATGATTGATAACTCTCGTAAACATGACGGCTTCAAATACTAGTCATATAGAAAAACATTTAAAAATATAAAATTGCTGTTATTTAAAAAAAAATCTACAAGGCACTGCATTTTGAACATTCTTCGTAAACTCTCCAAAATTCAATATAAAAATACATGGCACTAATGTAGATCTTTTGTATAATCCTATTATAACAAAAAACACTTTGGTCACAATACCCTCCCTCCCTCCATATACACACACATAGTAGCAACCAGCACACAAGATGGAGACAACACAATACATGCCAAGAAAAAATTGTGTACTATTATAAACGTACTTTTAGTTCCATTCTAATCAAATCCGCCCAAAAAAAAGACTATATACACCGGTATTAAATTGAAAATTACTTCTTTATATTCCTGGCACATTCTAGATGGTAATGCTATAGATATGTTTCATCATATGTAATAAATTCAATAAGCGCTAAACAAAACATCAGACAAGCCAACTAAAAGAATCAATGGGATACCAATTGTCTTCTGTTATCACTCTGTAAAACTAGTCAAAACAGCCCTCATTGATGTTAAAAAAAAAAGTACTACAACAATTTACCTGGTAGCTTTTTTGGCTTCCTCAAAGGTACAAATTTTGCTCCAATCGAAAGAGCAATGGGAGGGCCAAAGATAAACCCTCTAGCTTCAACACCTGCCAACATCACAAGTACATAATGAGGACAAATTTTCATGGAATAGCTTCATATGCATAAAACAAAGGTTTTCCTACATTAGCTAGAATGCTTCAATTTTGCATATATGTGGTAATACAAGTAGTACGCTGCATGAGTAACCAAAAGGTCAAAAAAATAACCAATTTTATACCATGTTAGTACCAAGCTCTATTAGCTTTTCCTTTTTCAAACTAAATTTACTGGTAAATCAATTTGAACCTCATTAAAAAATCAGCTTTATTTAGCTAGCTTACTGAATTAGGAGTAAAATAGAAGGACATAAAAGTTAGGCATGAGTTAAGTTATTCAAAGTTGGGCATGATACTGCTGGATGTGCTAGGGTAAATTTAGCTTTCTGTTTAGATGAGCAAAGCGAGTAGCATAAGAGATAAGCCTCACGTAGATTTTGTTGACCTCCACAAGCAAATTAGACAATAATCAATTATTGTTGGTAGACAAGATATCGCTCAAAATAAAGATTGGAGTGTATGGATCGTAATGAAATTATTCAAATTCTGTCCGATTGCAAAATGGACTTGTCATTGCATCCAAAATGCCAAAATTTCTAAAATTGATTATAATATTATCTAAATCTTTACACAATTGAAAGTGTGAATTTGGCATGAGTTACAAAATGACGACACCCAAATTCAAATGCAAAATTTGCTTGGCATAGTGGCATAAGAGGCAAGACAAGCGAAAAATCATAAATCACAAGAAAATAATAAAATAAAATAAATCATAAAAATAAATGATTTAGTTTAACAAATATTATGCAATTAGTGTAAAATTAATATTATGTTAATATTAAAATTAATTAATTATAATTATAATTATATATATAATAATGAGATGAATATTATTATCAAAATATATTCATAAAATTATTAAGCTAATATTTATTAAAATATGAAATAATACTCATTATATACTAATTAAACCTTTATGACACAATTCAAAGTGTAAATTAAACGTGTAACTCATTCCATCTTATACCACCATCTTCATATCAACGTATCTCCATTTAAACGCTTCTATTTAATTCCATGCTTAAGTGTCTCTATGAATGAAACTGCAACACTTTATCATGTTAAAAAATAAAAGAAAAAATCCTAATATAAGCCTCATGCTCTGTGAAAATCCTTAAAACTTTCAAGATTTTTTTTAGTTAACTTAGAGAAGTTCGTCCGATACGAACTGAGTTCGTCTGGGACGAACAGTTAGAATTTTAATTTCGTCTGTACGAATCGTTTGGACGAATTGAACGAGAACAAAACAGAGGCGTTCATCCCTGTACGAAATTAAATATCGTCTGTACGATCTTCATACGAGGACACAACAGAGACGTTCGCCCTGGTACAAACATAAATATCATCCCGTACGATCAAAAATATCTAATCCCATTATTTGATTCGCCATTTGCTCAGTTTAGAGAAAAGAGAGAGAGAGAGAGAGAGAGAGAGAGAGAGAGAGAGAGAGAGAGAGAAAGAGAGAGAAGAGGAAATCTGTATTTGGGCAACTTCGGGCCGTTATCATCTATCGACGCAGTTGGGAAAGTTGTTCAACTCGAGGTAAGGCACATTATGCATATCTCAATTTTAAAAAATGTGAACGTTTTGGTGAATATTCCGATCAAAATTTTGTATCCGTTAACGAAAAACAGAGATTTTTGCACCGATAAAACTTTCACCGCGTAACCTTTTATATATCATAAAGATTATGATTATAAACATTCTGAATATTTTATGGAAATTTTTCACTGGGTATTCTGAAATCTGAAGGGGTTTTTAATGAATAGAAAATTTTTAGGATATTGAAAAATAGTGCAATAGTACAACAAAAGTCTTAAAACATTGTTTTGCACAATCTCTGGTAATCTGAAAATTTTCTGAAACTGTGCATTTTTCCCTCATTGGACATTCTGTTGTTTACCGTTGTACAATATGGTAATATTTTGATACATGTTCAATTACTCTGTAATTGTTATAATGTTATGATATATGTGCACATGTGATTAAATGATATCTGTTGGGAGTTATAAGGGGGTTATAATCCTTTGAGATTTTGTCTGTGTCAGGAAATTTCTGGGAGTTATAAGGGGCCAAAACGCTTTGAGATTCTATCTGTGTCAAAGAATTTTTGGGAGTTATAAGGGGCCAGAATCTTTTGAGATTTTGTCTGAGATCGGGATATCTGATATGTTATGGTGCTATAAGCACAATGTTCTGGTGCTATAAACACAAATAAAAGGGAGTCATAAGGGGTCAAAATCCTTTGAGATTCTGTCTGAGTCTGGGAAATGTGATATGGACAACTCTGTGATATGAATTTCCATTTATTCAATTATTTTGTATTGTTATCTAATTCATTTGTTCTGTGCGGTTATCCGAATCATAGAATATTTGCTATATATTTATCACATTTTTCTGTTTTGTGATTCTCAGTTCAGTTAATTATTTAAATTGCAATTATCTGTTTTTAAATCTTCATTAAAATAATTGAAATAGATGGAGATATTATCAGCAGAATTCAAGTTGGATGGTTGAAGTGGAGGAATGCATTGGGCTTGTTATGTGATAGAAATGTACCCTAAAACTTAAGGGAAAATTCTATAAGATGGTAGCGAGGCCTGCAATGCTTTATGGTGCCGAATGTTGGCCATTAAAAGAGAAACATAATACTAAGTTAAATGTGGCAGAGATGAGGATGCTCAGGTGGATGAGTGGCTTTACCCTTAGAGATAGGATACGAAATGAGCATATACGTGAAAAGGTTGGAGTAGCTCCAGTAGAAGATAAAATTAGAGAGAGTCGTCTTAGATGGTTTGGTCACATAAAATGGCGGCCTTCCGATGACCCGGTTAGGAGAGTAGAGGTATTAGATTTGACTTATGTTAAGAAAGGTAGCGGTAGACCTAAAAAGACTTGGTTAGAAAATATTAGGAATGACCTTTCTTTATTAGATTTAAATGAGAATTTGACTTTTAATAGGACACAATGGAAAAAAAAAGGATTCATGTAGCCGACCCCGTGTAGTGGGATAAAGGCTTGATGTTGTTGTTGTGTTGTATTAAAATAATTGAAATAAAAGAGCATTTGAAAATTTAGATTGGCTCGTGTGACTTGCTGAGCTATTATAGCTCACTGTGGTTTTAGTTTTGGTTTTCAGGATCTGGTAAAGGTAAAGAGGTTGTGGACTAACTGTTCAAGATCTGATCTGAGGTCATAGGTATTTTGTTATTTTAATTTTTGTACAGTCATGACTAGTTAAATTTTCAGTTCTGTAATTCTTGCCTATAGCCATGCACTGTAGTGTAGATATTTATTTTGATGAATGAAAGAAACTATATGGATGAGTTTTTCAGTATTTGGATAATTTAGTAGCTCTATAATTCGTCATATATTTCAATGAATATTAGCAGAAAATCTAAAATAATTTCAAAACTAGATCTTGGGATTTTCCTGTCACAACTCAACACGATAGGACATGTCCTGGTCAGGTTGGGTTGTGACACTCTCTCATTCACACCTCTCCCCACTAACAGTAGCTCACGACACCCAACCATTTCTCCTGCTCTCCTCCTACCTCAGCCCTCTACCAAAGCTTCGATCTCCACCTCCCAGCTCGCGGCCAAATCCATGATTACCATTCTATTTCCTTCACTCGATCAAAAGTCCCAGCTCGCCTCAGGTTGGCCGATCACCTCCAACCACAACTGGCACGAACAGGCCCTCTTCCACCTCACGCCTCAGCCCTCTACACTTCCTTCTCTCAACCAAATTCAACCACACAGCTATCAGCCACCGTCACAGCTCCATTTCCCGTCAGCAAACCTACCATCCACCTCGCCCCCTTAATTATCCGCATCATTAACGAACTCAAGCTCCTGTACCGATCTCTCTCCTGCACCAATCTCTCCACTCCAATCCCATAGTCATCCATCCAGCTTTCCAAGAAGCACACGACCTAGCTTTCCACTTCCTTAGGTTTTCATATCACTTCACGTAAACATCATATCCCAAAAAAATTCTAATACAACAACAACAAAAGTTTTGTTTAAACTAATTTAATCTACATCAAGAAAAACTACTCTCGAGCTCTCACACATAAAAAGTAGGCTCCAAATAACTGTTTTACTGGGGAATCAATCCATGGTAGAGAACCACATAAAAAATAGAAGGAAATGATGAGCATACATATAGATGAATGAAAATAAAAACAATTTTCGAAGTAGGATGGAGCAAATTATGTAGGTAAGAATGACGGTTAACAAACGCAATATACATGGGAAGAAAGATTATGATTGGGTCACCATTTTTAACTACATAGGTGGAAAAAAGATCAAACCTAAGTTGAAGAACGTTCACAAAGACGTGAGAAAGGATGAAGGTTTACGACAACAAGGGACACAAAGATAAGAGTGGAATAGGAAAAGGCAAGGATGGAGGGTAATGATGGTTATCACATGGAGCAATCAAGCGAGAGTGGGAATTGAAGGCTCATAAAAATAAAGAGGGAGCAAAAAGAAGAAAAAATGAGCTAATTCAAGTATCCCAAAAATGAATTTTCTGATTGACCTATACAAATATAATTGACATGCAATACTTCTTTTATGAATTTTCTAATAAAATTATGAAATGATATGACAAAACAAATGCTAGAAAGATGAAAATACCAAGGGAAACAACCTAATGATGAACAATTGAAACCATAAAAATGAAAATAACCAAGATTTTGACACCCTGAAGAAAATAAAAACACAAAAAATAAGGATCACAAATGCTTCAATGTCTGTTAATGTTTCATGCAAATAAAAGAAAATAAGGAATTAATATACTTGAATAAAATATCACTTTCAAACCAATCAGGTATAAAAATGAAGCACAATGAGAGGACATACAAGAAAAGAAAAATTAAAATGATCTAAAATAAAGAAAAATAAATTAGGACACAGAGAAACCAAATATGAAACCAAAGTCCCACTTAGGATCATTTTTCTATTTCCTATTTTTGTTTTTTCTTAAAGAAAATAAATTAACGAGTTAATAAGACAAGTATGTTACATCATTTTTGTTTCTTATAAATTTCAAAGATAAATTAATTTATTTTTTAAAGTTCTAAATATATCTATTAGATGCTTTGTACACTCCAAAATCAACATTTTCTTCTATAAGTTTCACTGAGATTAAAACTTTGATCTTTGGAAAAGCAACTTAAGCAACTAAACATTAGACCAAGTATAACATTAAGATAACTGAGAAAATGAGAAAGGCACCATTTAGGATGCAGTAATTTTTGAAGATTCATTAATAAACCGATAACCACTGCAATAGTGAAATTTTCAACCATGAAACTCAAAAAACTCATCAACTCCCAACTAAAGACATCTTCAGTTCGGTTCCCACCAACACACTCTGTTCACCATTTCGAATTTTACAAATGCTAGTAAATAACCTATAATCCCAGAAAGCAGGGTACACCATCTCAAACAAACAAGCACATCAGAAAATAAGAGGGCAAATCAAAAAACAAAATCTGGCTAACAACATTACCAGCCACAACAGAGATCCGCATGTCCCTGTACCTCTCCACAAACAACTCCACAGTATCCCTAAACGCTTTGGGATCCAGCAGCAGCGTCGTGATATCTTGAAACATAACACCTACGCCAACCCAGCCCACATATCAAAACCAAAATCTAGGGCTTTGCAGCTTCCATCATCTTTTCAAGAAATCCAACAACCGTAAATAAAAAAATAAACTCAAACAGAGAAAAGAATGGATTACCAGGCTTAGGGAAGTCGGGAATGACGCGGATCGAGGACGCAATCCTCTTGATCCGAGTCTGTTCATCCACGGACGCCATGCAGGGAACCACTGGTTAGCACTTTCCAAACGGAAAGGCAGGAGCCGAGTAAATATCTCAAGTCGAGCGATCTAAAGCAGAAGAAGGAGAAGAAGATAAGCAAGAGGAAGATGAAGAGGAAGAGGAGTGTGAATAGAGATGGAGAAGAAAAAAAAAATTCTGAAAAGATGGCAACGAGGAGACCAACATGTGCCACCCATTTCAGTTCCGAGTGCTTTTTCCCCGCCAGTCCACTCTCCCCTGCTCGAGCTTTTCGAAAATGTAAAATCTCAATGCGTACGACCGCATACATTATTTCATGCGCGTAAGCCGATAGATCCAGCGGAGGGGTGATTCTGACGTGGAAGTTTGGTAGGTCGAAACGTGGACGGCTGGTCGTAGAGAAACTACGATGCGACGAATGATATCCCTGTTCAGTGCTTATAGGGCTCCACGAACGTGAAGGTGTAAACAGCCCCACTCCTCGTGATCAGCCGCCGTTGGAATCACCATCAGCGGCTGCAAAAGCTAAAGCACAAGCACCTTGCTTGCCAATACCTTAAATGTCGTGCATGATTTTGTATGAGGGCCGTCCGATCTTCGCAGGAAACATTCAGTGAAAATAAGCCCTCCATTTATATAAAGGTGTCCGCATGAAATCTGATTTGAAAAAAAAAAATCAAATCAAATCAACATACGCCTCTATACAAACTAATAAAAAAAGTCACCTCAAAGGATCAACGGCCCAAATATTTTAATTTCCTGGGAGATTATTACGAAGACTAGACGTTGAGATCGTTCGTTTTTATTTCTATGAAAAAGTAAAATTACAGTGATCAACAATTCATCTCTACCCCACCTAATAAAGAGGAGAAGTTGTTATGGTCAGAGTCCGACATATAGCTCTACATTCGGACATCAACTAAATGGAAACACATAGTTCTAATATGACTTTCTGGCTCAGCCCTCTTGTACATGACAAATTATTTTGTGTGGAGTCCGGATAGAAAGAATAATTCAGATTTGCTATATATTTACTGTATATTTATAAATACTCACACATAATTAGTTGTGAGTATTTGTTGAGTGTTTGTTGAGTAGTATTCACTGATTATTTTCTTATTTGCAGTGTATTTACGGAGTATTTATAAATACACAGTAAATATGCATAAATACGCATGATTATTCCCATAATTCCCTCTTGTACACACACTTGATATAAATTGTACATAGTGCTTATATATACATTGTGTACAACTTGTTCAAATTATGTATACAAGCTGTATAGTGTATGTACAAGCTTTGTACAGTGTGCACAATGAGAATTTATATAAACTTTGGGTTGTGCTATGTTGTTGGTCACGTTAGAGAAAAAAAATCAATGTATATTTCTTTAATTGGAATTTGACATAGACATACGTTCAGACTCTGCACATAATAATTTCTCCATAAAATGAGCCTTTGAAGCAAGGGCGGAACCCCTTTGGGGCTAGGGGGGCAATTACGAACACCATTTATAAAATTAATCACATAAGTTAAACTAATTTATTTGAGATCGAAAACTTTAAAATATCATAATTTTGGATAAATTTATAATTAAAAATATTAAAAAAATTGGGTTTTTGAATAGTAGCAAATATTAACTACAGGAAAATCATCGATTTCCGGCGCGCCTTTCCGGCGGTAATTTAAACCTTTTTCCGGGGGTTTTGAGGGGTTTTATCGGGCGGTTTTCGGCGGTTCATTTACGCGGAAAACGGCGTAGGAAATAAATTACCCCCGACGGCCGGTTTTTAACCAGGGCGGCGGGAATTCATTTCCGGCGGCTCTCCGGCGGTCATTAAACGCGCCGGCCAGATTAAAAAAAAAAAAAAAACTGGCCGTGACCGGTCACCTACGCTCCCGGCTCCCGCGCCGCCGATGCGCCCCGCTTCCGGCTCCCGCTGCGGGAGGTGATCCGAATCGCGCTCCGCTCCGGCCAGTGACCGCGCACAACCCGCTCCCATTTCCCAGGCGTTTTGGTTTTTTTTTTTTTGGGCTCGCGGCGTGCGTGCGCCCCGCTGCAAGCGGTGAGGGTAGGCTCGAAGGGGAGACTGTTGGCATTTAAAAATCTCTGCTATCACCGATTGCAATGTCAAAATAAATTTTATTCTCAATAAGGTTTTAATTTAATTTATATTCTAACCGTAAATAAAACAAAATTTTAATTATTAAAAAAGGAGTAATAATTTAAAATAAAATATTGATATTTAATATAATTAAAAATTAACTAACTAATAATTTAAAAATGAAATATTAATTAAATAGTTAATATAACTTTTAATATTATTGTAAAATCATTTAATAGTTAAATTTATTATTATTTGTTAATTTTTTAAAAAAGCGCCGAAAAAAAAATTGGAAAAGGCCGCCGGAAAAGCCGTCGAAATTCCGTGGGACTACCGGGCGGGTAATTGTCCGCCGGAAAGGCCGCCGGTGTAATCGCCGGAAAGCCGCCGGAAATTTACGCGGGATAATTTTGGCGGGAATTAGCCGTGTAAAATTTTTGGCGGGGAAATTTAGCGCGGAGCCGCGGTAATTTCCCGTCGGAAAGAGCCGTCCGAAAGTTTGTAGGAAATAAGCCATAAAACCGTCGGAAGACCCGGAAAGCCGGCCGAAAAACCAGACGCCGGAAAGCCGCGGAAAATTCCGCCGGTAAATAAGTGATTTTCCTGTATGTTAGCGTCTTACTATTCAAAGTCGAAAAAAATGCTTTGGTATATACATCGGGTTAGAGGCTTGGCTAGAACTGCAAACACTGAGAGATGCCTTTGTTTGCTCACCTATCCATCTACAAAGAGGGGCGGAACTAGTCATAATTTCGCGTGGAGGTGGGTGGTGGAGGGGGGGGGCAAACTTATTAAGTAACTGTTCTGCTTATGTCTGGGTCCAAGGGAGGAGCGCCCCCTGGCGGGGTTGACCAAATAACACATCTCACTATGTATTTTAATTATATTGGGGTCAAATTACCTAAACATTAG